TATTTTGTTGCCCTTTCATTCACAATCTGTGTTTCTTCTAGTGATTTAATTAATTTTTTTAATATAAAATCTTTTATCGGGAATCTTCATTGAAAAAATTTATCATTGTTAAAAGGTTAGATTTTATCTTTTTCTCCTTTTTAGTGGTATTATCATTATCACACACATTTACCAATTCATTTTTAAAATTATAATTATCGTCAATACTTAAAAAATCATAACAATTTGGTGCAACCAATTCACATTCTTTTATTTCACTATGCAAAATATCTTGATAAAATTTCCATATCACCCATCACTACCACTTTTGTATGATTCTAACTTAAGTTTTATAAATCCCTTTATTAAGTCATTGTATTTTTCTCTAAGTTCTATAACACTAGATTTATTGTTAAACACTAATGTAATTTCATTCCATACTAAATTAATCTTGTGTGAATTTGTCTTAAACATTTCAAATTTCAGATCAAATCTGAAAAAAACTTCAGACTTTAAAAATTGATAGAAAATAGATTAAAAAGCCATATAAATAAAAGATATAGTTTTATTTAAATTTAACACATGAATCATTGGTATGCAAGAGTACTAAAACCGTTACTACACAGTCTTGTTGTGGAATTAGTAGAGTTTCTATGAACCAAAGGTATGTTTAAAAGGTATGTCCAATGTGTATCTTGTAATCAAGATATGATTATAAGACCATACTTGAGAAACAGAGATGGTTTGGCGTTTAGGTGCTTTATTACGAGTTGTATAAATTATATAAAACATTTCTCAATTCGCTCCGAATGATTGCTATCGAAGTTGAATGTACCACTGAATAGCATAGTAAAAGTGTGTTTTAAATGTGTTGCACCCAGCTGTGTAACTCATAAAAACCAATCATGATCAATGATTGGTTAAATGATGATTGGATAACCACCTTTAAAAATATAAAAGAAAAATTGATTAAATAAAATCATCATGAACAAAAGTTTCAAGTTTATTAAAAATAATGTTCAACCCAAAGCGCTACAAACAACTAACACAACTTCCCATGCGAGGCAGGATAAAATGGTTAAATAACTATACTTAAGTACAAATAAGGTTTGAGGTTGATGTGGATAGAGACAGCATAATAAAAACAGTTGATCTTATAAGAAGGTAGTGTTTTAATTATTATATTAAAACCTTTTTGTCTTAGGCGGTGATGGTATAATTGCTCAAATAGACGAAAGTTTATATAGATATAAACAGAAGTACCATGGTGGCCAACAACCAAAGCATTAAATCTGCGTGTTTGAATTAGCTGATGTTTCTTACACACCGGTAAAAAATTCACTACATTTAGTTTTAAACAGAGCCGGTGGTATACACATACCTATTATTGAAAGAGTTTGTGCTTCGGGTACAATTATACATTCTGATGAGAGATGCGCTTACTCAAGTTTTACTAGTAAATTGAGTTTTTTCACTCTACTGTTAATCACGATGAATCATTCGTTAATGTCACTACAGGCCTTCAAACTCAAAATACCGAGAGTGTTTGGAATAAATGTAAGTATCTATGCAAGATGTATAAAAAAGTTTTAGTTTCAAAGATAGAATTGTTTTTAAATAAATTTATGTAGAAGACCAACATTGGACGTGATAAGACATTCGAAGATTTACTTAGCTTACTAAGATTTGAATAAAATTTGTTTATTATTGTTTATTTTTTATTAACGGAGAAATTTTTGAGTTGTTATTATCGAGGGAGTTTCAGACTTGATCCGTTATTTCTTTTACTATTTTTTTGCAAAGCAATATATAATTTTAATTTGTTCATTATTTATATTTTCAATAAAACTCTTCATATTATATTTTCAAAAAATTATTTATGGCTCTTTTTTAATCTAAGATTCAATTTAACTATTAAAAAACATCATTTTAATTATTTAAACTATTTTTAATTTCTGATAAGATTAATCGAGTGTTTTACTAATAAATCTTTATGCAAGCAATCTTCAAAATTACTGATTGATATTCAACCAACTTATATAATATAAAATAGACATTAGATCATGTATTTTTTAAATTAACTTTTTAAACGACCCAGAAAAAATTTTTAATTTTTATTGATCACTTTATTGTTTGTTTTTTCTGTGGTTATAAATAAAAACATAAAATTATAATGTTTTATTAGGTACTTTTTTTGTTGAAAATATTACTCTTACTATGATATTTTGTAATATTATTTTTATAAAAACATGTGTTATATCTAAAAAATATTATTATATATTAGTTTGTTTAAATTTGAGTTATATTATTGAAAAATTTTAAAAAAACTTAACAATTTTTTTAAAAAAAATTAAATATTATTATTCTATTTTAAATTAAAGACATCCATCATGTGAATTAAATTTTTTTAATTTAAATGTTATCAATAAATGAAAAAAAATGATTTATGAAAATATTTCTCGCTTCTTTTGGGTTCAAATGAATAAATAATAAACTAATGCATTAAATAAAATAATTTTTAAATAGCCAAAATACTATATCAAAAACATTTCGATATAATTATTTTAAAAGTCTTTTAGTGTAAAAAAAATATATTCTATTGAAAAGGTAAAATGAGCTGACATACTAGGATTAATCTAGAAAATAAAATGTTTTTGTTTTTGGAATTTTTCAGTTCATTGCTAGAAAATTAGTATGGGAATGAAATGAAAAAATGCTCACACCATACTTTTAAAAGTATT